ACTATTACCAAGTAATATTATCACCAAGAAATATTATCAGGGAGCTCTGGTGGCCTAGTGGCAAGAAGCTGCACTGCAATCCCAGAGGCCCACGGTTCGAATCCACCAGATGCTCTGCCGGGGAAGGAGGACCAGTCAGATCCAATTTGACGGTACACACACACACACAAAATAATAAAATTAAAATAAAATCTTTTTTAAAAATTTAAAACAAAAGAAATATTATCATGAATATTCCCCTCCCTAGCAGTGAGCTTTGAAAGGGCTATTTTTAACATCTTTGTTGTGTTATTATGTGCCATCGAGTCACCGGTATCTTGTAGTGACCCTGTGAAAAAGAGCTCTAAACCCTGCCCTATCCTGAGCCAATCTCACTGTCTCCGACAAGCCCACTCCCATGACCCCCGTTACTATGTCAATCTCTTTCATCTTGGGTCTTCCTCTCCTGCACTGTCCCTCTACCCTTCCAAGCATGATGTCCCTCTCAATGAACTGGTACTTCCTAGCTACATGCTTCAAAATCCATGCCTCCTTCAAAATGAGCAGCCTGGTTTCACCCTCTCTAAGACAGATCTGTTTATTCTCTTGGAAGTGCATGGTACGTTCAATACTCTTCTCCAGCACCACAACTCAGAGGCATTGATTCATCTGCTGTCAGTTCTACTAATTTTCCAGCTCCCTGATGCATAGCAAGTAATTGATAAGACCACGGCCTGGATCAGGCACGCCTTGGTCTCCAGATTGACAGCATTGCACTTCAGCACTTCGGAGAGGTTCCTGACAGCAGCTTTCCCCTGAGCAATTCTTTTTCTGATTTCTTGGCAGCTAGCGTCAAGAGTGCTGGTTGTGGATCCAAGCAGGTTGAAATTGTGAGCAACCTCAATCTCTTCTCCAGCCATCACGATGCTGCTGCTAGTCAAATTCTATAATGTATCTGGGAGTAACCATATTAGATTTTTCTCCCCTTTTCCTTTTCTTTTTTCTTGTGTACCATCAAGTCAGATCTCACTGGTACAGGAGGATACTGCCCCTTCTTCTCCAGCGGAGCATCTGGTGGATTCGAACCATGAACTTTTGTGACTGCAATGCAGCTTCTTGCCACTAGGCCACCAGATCTCCCTTACCATATTAGATTTTGTTGGAACTTTTCTTTATCACTTCTAGAAATACAAAACTGACTGTTGAGTTACGTGAGCTCTCATAACAGCTCGAGGACTAGGTACCATCACTTCCATGTCACTATGAAGAAATAGAGACTTAAAGAATTCACACTGTTTTACACAGCTCCACAGGAATTGCAAATCAGGTAGGAAGTGAAAGTAAACTCCAGCAGTAGAAATTATAAAATAGAGCATGAATAACTATTTGAGACTTTGTAATAAACATCCCTGGAGGAGGAAATATAGATTAGGTTCCAATCAAACTGTGTGAACAAAGAACTTTGGGCTTCACATGATTGTTTCCTAGTAATGGAGTATAAACGGAACTCAGCTCACTGCTGTCAGAACCCCTGCAGAGCTGAGCCTCCAGTGGGTTTTCCGAGGCTGTAAATAACACGGGAGGAGACTGTCCATCTTTTTCCCGAGGAGCCACTGGTGGACTCGAACCGCCAACTGCCTTTGGCTTTGCAGCACAACTCCCTACAGACTATGCCTCTCTCACAGTAAAATATTACTCGTCTGATGTTTTTCAACCATTTAAACTTGTGAAAACCACTCGGGGATCTATATGAAAGCAGTTGGTGAGCTACATTTAAAATGCAGACTAGAGTTGGTTGCCTCCTAACGATAGTTCACTTCTTTAACTCATCATAACTTGCCCTTCCTCCAGGCCCTTCCCACATCAAGACTCTTGCGTATGAGATTTCCTCTCCTGGGAATCTGATTGCAGAGCTACGGGTGTCAATTCTTCTCCAGTCTTCCCTCTTCATTGCCCAGTTTTCACATGAAGACGAAGTGACTGACAATATCATGACTTGCGTAGGTGCGCTCTAGTCTTCAAATGACATCTTAGCTTTTCGACCCTTGACAGAGGTCTTCAGCAGCAGACACCCCCTCCCCAGTGTAACCCATCGTTTGATTTCTTGGTTTCTGTGTCTGTAGATGTCAACTGTGAATCCAGGTAAAACCAAACCTTTGCTAATGCACCAATATTTTATCCATTTACGAGGTTGCTATTTGAATGCTTGTAGTTGCTGTTGTTACTGCTGTTAGAAGCCATTGAATTGACTGTGACTCACAGCAACCCTATGAACACCACATCTGACCCCTGCCCTAACCTGTCCCAGCCTCCCAATCTCAGATATACTTGAGCCCATTGTTACAGTAACTGTGTCAGCCCATCCCTCCTTCTTCAACCCTCACTTTTCCAAGGGCTGATCCCTCCTGACAACATCCCCAAAGTATGTGAGGTCAAGTCTCTCCATCCTTGCTTCTAAGGAGCACCTTAACTCTCTTCCTCCAAGACACACTTATTTGTTCTGTTGGCCGCCCGTGGGATAGGCAGGGCGATTTTCCAACACCACAACTCAGAGACATAGATTCTCCTACTGATAATCTTATTCATTGTCTAGCTTTCAGAACACGAGAACAACTAAAGAAACATCCTCTGAAGAGAATGTAAGGCCAAGTTTCCAAGAGGTGTCCCAGGAATGCGGTCACAGCATATAAATCCTGATCCAATTTGCCAGGCTAGTGTGAATGTTTAAATCCTGCCTGCCATGATCTCCCATTCTATTGGATACTCCATGCTGGATGGAAAGGTTAACATTGTCAACGACTTCATCTTCTTGGAACCATAATCAATAAGCTGTCAGGAAATCAAGAGACATGTTACACTGGGAAAGTCTGCAGTCAGGGAACTCTCCTTGACTTCAAGATTAATGAGAAGCAATGATGTTAGTTTGAGGACTACACTGCACGTTATTCAGGACATGCTCTTCTGATCACTAACTATGCATCTGAGAGCTGGACTATAAATAAGGATGACAGAAGAAGAACTGATGCCTTTGAGCTGTGGTATTGGAGAAGAGGACTGAATAATCCCATGGACTGCCAAAAGAACAAACAGGTATGTCTTGGAGAAGGTGAGGCCAGCGTGCTCCTTGGCAGCAAAGATGATAAAGCTGCTTCATCTCACCTACTTTGGGCATGTTGCTAGGAGACAGACATCATGCTTGGAAAGGTGGAGAGACAGCCAAGGAGAGGAAGACCCTCAACCAGGTAGATTGGCACAGTGACTGCAGCAATGGGCTCAAGTGTGTCAGAGATTACGAGGACGGCACAGGAGAGGACAGGGTTCAGATCTGTTGCTCATATAAGGTTTATTAGGCGTCATACCCCACTTGGCACCCAACAACAACAACAGCATCATGCTGACCACTAGAACAAATGAAAAAGAGGGAAGGATAGACAGCTTAGGAGGGACTGGAGAGCATTATGCTGAATGAACTAACTCAGCCCCACAAGGATAAAAACTTATAAAACCATTATTGTAGAACGAGTATGAGGACCCCATGGGGGGAGAGTGAAAGCAGAGAAATGAGGGTGGGTGTGGGGAGATTTACCATAAGGTTGCACAATCCTGTGTGAGAGGTGAAGTAAATGGGAAGGATCTTGTGTGAAAAAAAAATATACTTGAACTTTGTAAACAAATCATTATAAAATAAAAATTAAAAAAGAAGGAAGGTAGTGACAATAAATGGGGGGCTAAAGATAAATTATGATGATGAAGGAGAGAGAAGAAGACAAGGAAGAAGGAACAGATAAAAAGAAACCGTAAAGTAAAATGTCCCAGAACCTGTTCACCAGTCACTCAGTAGGGTGAGTTAAGTTATGTATGCTTATTTTTATCCTTTGAAAAAAGTATAGATTTTTTTTGTCAAGAACATTTTATTAAAATATTGAGAAAGGGCATGCCAAACCTTGTTAACCTACTGACTCAGGAAAAAAATTAATACAACAAAGTAAACATACATGTCGAGTGATATAAAGTTCTCACCAGTTCCTGGCTCCAAATTTTCATTTGACAATGGAAAATTTCCCAGAATTCTATAAGAAATATTATGAAGTTCATGACCTGAGGAGTTGCCTAATGATAATTCCTCAGAGACCCACTTCCCTGAAGGGATGTAATCCCAAGTTCCCCTGTTGTGTCCCAGTAATATGGTCCAAGATTACAAGGTCTTATCCACTTGCCTGGCCAGCGTGAATATCTAGAGTCTCTCCCTTTATCTCCCACTTGAACTCAAGTTCTCCTGTCCATGTCAGCTGCCTCAATAGAGTTAGAGAGTTCTCAGCTAACACAGCTGGGTTCTGGGATGTTTAGGGGGAAATGAAGGTGTAAAGTCAGGGCTGAAGGGATGGAGGCATTTCCTCCAGTTCCAAAAAGTGTGTGTGTAGGAAGCCAGTTCCGTCATGATTCTGAGGGTGTATACGGCTGCTTACAGATGAAAAGAAAATGGGCATCACACGGCCCATCATTCCAGGACTGAAGTGCAGCCTTCTTGATAACAACACAGTGTTCATTGTTCCCATAATTGTTGGGTTCCCCAGGAATCCAGAACCTACCATGTGGGAAGACAAGGAAAAAAACTCATTTACAAAGTTGAAAGAAAAGATCATTTCCAAGACAGAGATGAGTTCCATCAATAGTAGCTTTGGCGAGCTTATACACAATTTGGAGCAAAGTGTCCCTTTGGTGTTTCACTACTGTACATTGGCTGGAATAAACACTACGGCTTTCAATTCTATCAGACTGACCCCTATTCCGACTATCAGTGGGAATTATGGGGGCTGGAAAGCCACGTGCTGCAGCTGTGTCAATGTTAAAGCAAGACTACAAAGAAGGAGAAATAACTCTGAAGTCAGCTCTGGCTTTAGCTATCAAGGTGCTAAATAAGACCACGGATGTCAGTGAACTTTCTGTTGAAACAGTGGAAATTGCCACCCTCACAAGAGAGAATGGAAAGACAGTAATCAGAGCTCTCAAACAAAAGGAAGTCGATCAAAAAACATGAGGAGGAAGAAGCAAAAGCTGAGCGTGAAAAGAAAGAAAAAGAACAGAAAGAAAAGGATAAATAGAAGGGGTGGAAATCAGGGATTTTTATCACTCCTTTCGGGCACCATTACAGTGTAAAAACTGTCCTCATCCTTCCCACTGAGGAAGCTTTGACTTTTCTCTTAAACTTGCACAGTGAGGAAGTAGGCTAATACATACTGAATTGGGTCCTTGTCACTTCTGTTCAATGGAATGCTTCACTGTAGTGATGATGATGATGATTGCACCTCACAGACCTCTTACAAGATTTTTTTTTCTTTTATCATCTTTTTTTTAAATAAAATTTGAAAGAATGTAAAAAAAAAATAGTGACTTTGGTCAGAGGTGAGAGCATTAGTTTTTATAATCAAGCCCATGTAGAAGGGGATGGGTGAGTCTCTACTCTTTCAACCTTCTCTACAAATTAAATCTAAGGCAGAGAGAGCTCTAGTGGCTTAGTGGAAAGAGGCTACACTGCAATCCCAAAGGTGCAGGGTTCAAATCCACCAGATTCTCTGCTGGAGAAGGAGGGGCAGTCTCCTCCTGTGCCAGTTGGATCTGATTTGACGGTACACCACAAGAAAAGGGAAAAAAAGATTAACATATGTATACGTATATATTAAATCTGAACCAGGACACCAATCAAAGTCCCCATACACAATGCACAGCAAAGAGCGAGTTGGAAGCATATCCCTTATCTGTTCCAGAGCAGTGTTCATTATCTGTCCATTCTCATCCTATTCTCCTCCCAGCCCCCCATATCAGACCTGCTTTTTGTGACTGAGATGAAGCAAAGAACTGTTTAAAAGGAATACATGATTAGGCATTATACATACAACAACAGCCCAGAATAAGAAGCACATTGCAAAGAGGACTGGGGGGAGAGGAGAGAGGGAGGTAATTGTACAACAACTAAGGAATTTAAAAAAAAAAAAGTAAACTGCGGGAGAGGGAATATAAGGAAAGGGGGTAAAAATGTGCAACAGTGAATGAATGAAAATCTAACTTTTCTGTACGCTTTCGTTAAAATCACAATTGTTGTTGTTGTTATGTGCCGTCGAGTCACTTGCGACTCACAGCGACTCTATGTACAACAGCCCTAAACTCTGCTCTGTCCTGTGCCAATTGCCCTGTCTCCAATACACCCATCCCGATTACCCCAGTCACTGAATCAACCCACCTCATAGAGGGCCTTCCTCTCCTGCACTGTCCCTCCACCCTTCCAAGCATGATGTCCCTCTCCAAGGACCGGTCTCTCCTCACAACATGTCCAAAGTATGTTAGAGGGAGCCTCAGAATCCTTGCCTCCAAGGAGCCACCCAGTTTAACCCTTTCCAGGACAAATCTGTTTGTTTTCCTAGCAGTCCACGGTACTCTCAATACTCTTCTCCAGCACCACAACTCAAAGACATCAATTCTCCTTCTAGCCTCCCTAGTCATTATCCAACTCTCTGATGCATAACAAGTGATTGCAAAGACCATGGCCTGTATCAGACACACCTTAGTCTCCAGAGAGACACCATTGCTCTTCAGTACCCTGGAGAGGTCCCTAACAGCAGACTTTCCCATGGCAATACGTAAAAATCACAATTAAAAGAAAAAAATTTATTTTACAAAAAGAAGCATACCCCTGCAAAGCTGTGTGTGTGGCTGTGCTACCAAATTCCAGATGGCACCGAGATTCGTCCCAGATGCCCCTGGTCAGGTGGTGAGTGGAGCAGAGGTGAGCAAGAGCCACATCTCAGCGTTCCCGCCACATCGGCACAGGGAAGAATCCCGCGTCCCTTACTCCCCCTTCTTTCCCTGGCCCCAGCCCTGGCCCAGGAGGACAGTGAGGTCAGAAAGGAGATGGGCAGCGTACCTTGCACTTTGGACTTTATCGAATGGAGTGTTGTCCACCCAGTACCAGTTTCCTTCAGTCCCCGCTTTGGTCAGCCCGATCCAGTACGCAACTCCTCCTGTGGTCTTATATAGAAACTCCTGTAGGGAATGCCATGGAGTACCTGTCAGAGCGTCAGTCCGCTGTCCTTCAACCCACAGGCAGCGGTCCCATGGCCGCTACCAAATGCCTGCTTGACAAAGGCAAGAAGAATACTGATTATTCGCTGCCTCCCAACTAGCCTTAGGAAGAGGCTGCTGGAGTCCCAGGAAGAGCCCAGCTAAAACCCAGAGCTGGGGCCGCAAGAAGCTGGCTGGGAAGAGAACAGCTACATTTAGGAAATGATTCGTAAGCTCCAGCTTACGTAACAGGCCAGCCCTGTTGACACTGTGTTCACCACTCAGCTGCTGAGTGGTCAGTGGGCTGAAGGGTCAGTGAGCTGGACGCCCAGCCATCCTGCTGGAGAAGGATGTGAATTCTGTTTCCATAAAGATGTTCAGTCTTGGGAGCCCTGTGGACAGCCCCCCCCGTGCTGTGGGGTCACTGTGAGTGGGAGTCATTGGACGGCGGTGTGCACATTTACTCACTGTTTTCAAGGAGGCAGATACTACCATTGAACATGTTTCACAGATGAACAGGCTGAGGCCTGATGAGGGTAAACCCTCCCCCCGGGCTGTAGGACTCCTGGGACTGGCGGTGCTGAGTGACACCTGCACCCACACTCTTTCCCAGTCTGCTATTCTCCTTCTCATGGGAAGAGCCTCGCTCAACATCCAGGAGCTGGATCATTAACACTGATCACTAGAATGTCTGTGTTCTAAGCACGTGGCAAGAGCGCACGTCTCTGTCTCTCTTTGAAGGTCCGGGTGATCCATGTGGGTCAATAAGACTTGAGCAGAAGTGACGTGTGTTGTTTCCAAGTAAAAGCTCCACATGCACCATCTACCATGTTCCTCGGTGATGGTGGAACCCCATGTTGAAATGAAGTTCCCTTCAACCTACATCTTTGAGGAATCATAATGTATAAAATCTTCTTCCTTGTCCCACCACAAAGAAATGGATTGAGAAGTTGTGGTACATTCATGCAACGGAATACTACGCAGCACACAGGAGCACTCATTTTGTAAATTACTACTTAACTTGGGAGAGACTGGAGAGCACTATGCTGAGTGAAGTAACTCAGTCCCACAAGGACAAATACCGTATAAAACCATTCTTGTAGAATGAGTATGAGGAGACAAGGCAGGAGTGGGGGAGGGTGGAAATACAGGGATGAGGATGGGACGGGCAGGATATAAATCACAGGGTTGCACAATTCGACGGAGGGTGGGGTGAAGGAAATGGGAAGGATCTTTTGTGGAAAACAATGTATTCAAACTCTGTAAATAAATCAGAGTAATAGGAAAAAATTGAGCAATTAATAAAAACAAAACACCTCTTGCTGACTGGGCAGACAGACATTAAATAAGCGTGCCACTCATATAGCCCTGGAGACATAATAAGTTTTGTGTTGGGTTACTAATTAAAAAAGTTATAGCTCAAATCCAACAAGTGCTCCTCGGAAGAAAGCTAAGCCATCTTCTCACATAAAGACGTACAGCTTCAAAGGAAGTATTTTTATAGTTTACTAATTTAAATCACAAGGGTTGACAGAAGTTGTGGTAAGTTATTTAAACTAAAATTTCAAAATAAAACACACATACACCCAAAAAAAAGCAAAAGAAACCCAAAAACCCTCTCGCTGAGCTTCAGTGGACTTGAAGCATAAATTAGAAATAACTGCTTGTTACACTGGTGATATTTAGGGATGTTGTTAAGGAGCTGACTGATAGCCTCTTCCCGGAAACAACATTTACCTGCTCTCTCACTGAAGTGACGGAAGTCAGGTGGGAATTCTTGGACATGCAGAACTGCTGAGCGCTGTACCAGGTCTTCTCCATGTGAGAAAAGTAGTAGAAGCTCCCCTCGAAGTACTCCCAGCCCTTGGAAACCATCTGCAGAATGTCATCTGCACAACAAAGACTAAAAGTGAACTCTGCTGTGTTTGTTGGGGGTGGGAGGCTCACACGGGCTTCCAGAAACACTAAGAAATTGGGCTGGGCCCTGGGGCCCTGGATCCTCATGTAAGGGCTTTGGGACACTCCCCATCTACAGAGACTAGCTGAAACTGTGGGTTAGAGAAGAAAAAGTGAGAGCGGGTCTTTCTCTACCGTAAGGGGAAAGCAATTCTCCGTTGGCCATCACAAACGGCTGAGCGCAGGGGCTCAATGTTGGAACTGCTGAGACGTGGATAGCTTGGGCCAAGATAGAGAAGCCATCATGCCTGCTTATTCTGCATCGTGGTGTGGGAACCCAAGCTGGTCCCCAGTCCATCTTCTCCTGGGCAGCCCTTAACTCCTTCCTACCCCAATGCTGGGCCCCTTTCAAGTTTCTACCCTGTTTCTCCCTCTCTTTCATGTCACCTACAGGCCCCAGGGGGTCATATTTGGTTGGACACTGGTCAGCTTACAATACTCTTTGCTGAGATCCTTACTTTGTTGTCGGAGGGAGTTGCCCATCGTCTCCAAACCGCTCTGAAGTTCCTGGATCTTTGTGTTTAAAGCGCTGGCTTTAGCCAAATTTCTTTTTAACTCTGGGATTTGGGCATTTAGAGAGTTGACTTCCTCCCAGTTTGTTGTTAAGACCTGGATCAGTTCGTTGGCTTTCTCCAGACCAGAATCCAGTGTCAGGAGCTGAGAGTGCACGAGACGCAGGCTGGCGTTGAGCTTCTGGATCTGACTGCTGGCTGCCTTCAGGTCACCTCTGTTCCTCTTCATTTCAGAGCCTTCGGAGCTGATGTTGTCCACTCGCCTGGTCAACAACTGAGCGTTGGTCCTTACATCAGATACTGCGCCAGAACACCAGGAATCTAAATTTGAGAAACCAAGACATCCGCTGAGGAGTGGAGTACAAAAAGGAGGGAGGGGAAGGGAGAAGTAGGCTCAAGTTGCAGAGGAGCTCAAGTCACTGCCTCTTGCCCACCATTCATTCACAAATGTTCTCATTTAAGAAACACTCGGACATCTACCATGTGCCAGGAACCCTGGTGGACAAAGACAATAAAAAAATTGATGAAACATGAACTCTGTAAGAAGTCAGCCCCGCACAGCCTGGTGCCAGCGAGGTCCTTAGACCTGGGGGGGGGTCTGGAGCCAATCTTACAGACATCGAGGAAGGCAGCCGCACCAGAAAAGCTCGAGGCAGGAGGAACTGGAACCCCGGCTTGAATTTTCTTTAAGCATTCTCATGTGGAGGCGTGAGAATCTCTCCTGTAATCACCCCCTAGAGCTCTCTCTCTACATCCTTTGGGGCTCTGTCCCTTGATTCCAAGCCCTCTCCTTTCAGAGCCCCCAGCAGTGGTGGGGGCAGGGGTTGGGGGTGGGATGGGGGGCACAGAGGCTCATCTCTCCAAGCCTTGTTCCTGGACATGGAAAGAGGACAGAGTAGACAGGTGGGAAAGCCAGAGAGGTAAGGAGCCCAGAGGAGGGGGTCCATGAAGAAGAAACAAGACTCCTAGACACAGCGGTGGCCCTCACAGAAGACAGCCTGCAGCAGCACAGAGGTGGCCAGGACCAGGGTCAGAAGGGTCAGCGCAGCACACACGGTGGATGGCTTCCTCGGAGCCAGAGGTCGGTCAGCCTTCGTAGGTGGCTCTGGTGGGAGAAGAAGCCGTCAACAGTTAAAGGCCAGCCACCAGGCAGCCTGGGTGCAGAGGACAGAGCAGGTCTGCAGCAGCGAGCGGCGCTTGCCTCTGGGCCAGAGGGAGACGTTCTGTTTCTCTACCACGAAGTGTGCACACGGGGCCTCCTCTCCCGCCGTCATCCTCTCAGCACCGATGCCACCACCTGGCTGTCTCCTCAGTGCCTTTTATCCTGAGGAAATGAGAAGTGAGTCTGCTGGATGGTCACCCCAGCACCCCGTGGTTCCTCATTCCTGGTCTGGCAAAGTGGATGGAAAACAGCACCTTGGCAGACACCGTCATTGTGCCACCAATTCAAACACGTGACACCACCTTTCAAATGACGTTACCATCAAACGAACTAAAATGTACAAGCCAAAGCCATTCATCTTTTACTTAGCACATCAGAGCACGATACGAAAATGACACATTTCATTGATGAGAATTGGTCTGTGATATGATCAAAGCCCCCCATTTTCCCCCCAGCTGCTTCTCCTTCAACAGTCACCAGAGCAGTCTTGGACCACGTGGGAGAAGCAGTGCTGAGCTCCAGCCCTGTGCAGCAGTCACTGTCAATCCGTCTTCCTGAGGGTCTCCCTCTCTTTTGCAGACTCTCCACCTTTCCCAGTCTGATGTCTTTCTCCAGTGAGCAGATCCTTCTGGAGATGGTACCAAAGTGAGAGAATTTCCCCTTGCCTCTGAGGAGTACACTGACTGCACTTCCCTCCAGACACATGTACTTGGTCTTTTGGGAAACCATGGTATAGTCAACACTGTTCGCCAACACAACAATTCAAAGACATCAGTTCTTCCTACAACCAGGAGAAGACAGATGAATGGGACCTTCCAAGAATCAAATCCTTATGCACATCCAAAAACTTCTCCAACAGGGTAAAAAGAGAAGCCACCGACTGGGGAAAAGTATTTGGTAATGACATATCAGATAAGGGACTTACAGAATTTATAAAATACTTGAGCACCACAACAAGATAAAGGTAAATAATCCAATAGAAAAAATGGGCACAGAACATGAACAGACACTTCACCAAAAAACTACCAAAAAACTCATTCATACGGCCAACAAGCACATGAAGAAATGTTTAAAATCCCTAGCTCTAAGAGAGATGTAAATCAAACCGACTATGAGATATCATCTCACCCCAGACAGAATAGCAAAATTTAACAGAACAGCAAGCAACAAATGCTGGCGAGGTTGTGGAGAAACTGGAAACCTCATTCACTGTTGGTGGGAGTGTAAAATGGTGCAACCACTGTGGAAAGCAGTATGGCGCTTTCTCAAAAAGTTGCAAATAGAGATACCATTTGACCCAGCAATTTCACTACTGGGAATATACCCCAAAGAGACCATGACTGACATCCAAGCAGATATATGCACACCATGTTTACTGCGGCTTTGTTCACAATAGCAAGGAGTTGGAAACAACCCAAGTGCCCCTCAACAAACGAATGGATAGAGAAGCTGTGGTATATTCACACAATGGAATACTATGCTGCATTGAAAAATAAGGAACTCATGCAATATTATTCAAAATGGGTGACCCTGGAGGCCATTATGCTGAGTGAAGTATCTCAGTCACAAAAGGACAAATACTGCATGGTGCCACTGTTGTAAAACAGGACTGACCTCGGGGTTGAGGAGAGAGAGACTGAGAAAGATGGGTTCAATAATGTATACTGCACTGAAACAGATGAGGGAGAAACTGTTTAAGAGGGATATATGATTAGGTATGTTTGTCATGACAGGAGTCTAGAGCAAAGGCCACATGGTGCAGTGGACCTGGTGGAGGGATTGTAAAACAATGAAAGAATTTTTCTTTTACTTTTCCAAGAGGGTAGTGTACTAGAGGGGAGGGTTGGGAAGGGAGAAAAGTACAACAATGAATGAATGGAAATGCAAAGTCTCTGTAAATTTTTATTGAAATTAATAATAAATTTAAATTTAAAAAAAATTTTTTAAAAGACATCAATTCTTGTCTTCCTTAGTCACTGTCCAACTTTCAGATGCACAGGAAGTCAATGAAAATATCACGGATCAGGTGCACCTTAGTGTTTAAACTGACATCTTTGCTTTCTAGAACCTTAGAGAGGTCTCTGCAGCAGTCTCCCAATGCAATATGGCTTTGATTTCTTTTCTTTTTAATTAATTTGTATTTTTTTTCTTGTTGAGATTTTACCACCGGGTCAGATGCGACTGGCACAGGAAGAGATTGCCCCTCCTTCTCCAGTGGAGTATCTGATGGATTCTAACTGCCCGCCTTCGGGATTGCAGTGCAGTTTTCTTGCTACCAGAGCTCACAATCTTTTGATTTCTTCAATGGAACTAACACAGGTGTTGATTGTGGAGCCAAGTAAGATGAAACTATTGATCCTTGATTTTCTCCATCCATCATGATGTTGCCTGTTGGTCCAGTGGTGAAGATTTTTGTTTTCTTGTTGGGGAAATGTGACCATTATTAAAGAATGTAGTCTTTTTTTTTATTTGTTTGCTTACAAAATTTGTATACATTGTGTTTCACACTATTCTTCATTCACGCTGTGTTTCATACAATCATTCTCATGCATTATGCTTCATAAAATTAATCACCACTGGACCTTGCCCATCATTACCCTGTATTTTCTCCCAAATCCTTCCCATTTACTTGCCCTCCTTCCCTCCACCCACCAAACGGTGCAACCCCTCTGGTTTCACCCCTACCCATCCTCATCCCTTTGCTTCCAACCCACAAGTTCCCATACATGTTTTACTAGTTATCCAACGATGTAAACTTTGCTCTTCAGCAGTAAGTACTTCAAGTCTGCTTTACTTTGCATAAGTAAGGGTGGATTATTTGCATAACACAGATCATTAAGTATTCTTCCAATCCTGATGTTCAAAACCTCTACGGATTACACACAACAGTCATTGAAAATGGGTCACAGACTTAATGGCAAAATGCAAAACTATTAAGCTTCTGGAAGATAATATAAGAGAAAAATCTAAGTGACCCTAGATTTTGAGATTCAACATCAAAAGCATAACTCATTTAAAAAAAAAACCAACACAAGGTCAAGCTGGATTTCATTAACGTTTTGGAACTCTGGTGGTCTTATTGTATACGGAGCTGCACTTTCAACCCAAAGGCTTGGCATCCACAGATTCTCACGGTGCAGAGAAGAAGCCAAGTTGCTCAAGGCCATGGTTAAAGAGGTCCTTCAAGGTCCTGGCCGCCTCCTGGGGCTTCTGAGAAAGAGAAACTGCCATGAAACCTGGGATCTACATTGTATTGTGTCCTTCATCTCTGTCAAGGAGCTGACATTTCCCAAACTTTGGTAGTCTTGTGACATGAGTTATTGACAGACTCTCTATGGGCTTTCTCAGTGGTCTTTGAATGGATTTGAGATCCAAACTGAGTCAGGGCCTCTTGTGTGGAAGGGACTGGACTTGGGGACCATTTCCTTTGAGGGGTGGAAGTGGAGGTTTTAGGTATGCATGTTCTGGTGGTCACCAAGGGAAGGGCTGATCCAACATGAGGAAGCCAAGCACAAGCCACCAGACTCCACAGAACGGGCATAGGCCCTCTGGGGTTTCTGAGAGCGCGCATATAAAAGTCCCAAGCCATAAGGAGTTTCACTTCCTGCTTGGACGGAAGGAGGGTGTCACAGGCCATATCGTGTGGTCATGTTCATCTGCATATGGGGTACACTTCCCCTGTGTACTCTCTGGGTGTTCAACTGAACAGGAGTTTAGAAGACAGGTAGGAAGCAGATATCTGAGCAACTCTTCCAGGCCAGGAGACCAGGGAGTTCTGGACCCTGAGGAGATGTCCAGTTTTCTCAAGCAGAACAGAAACTTTGGGTGAGACCTAAAGTGAAAAAAAAAAATCACTGCTGAGACTAAAGAAAGGGAAGTCTGTGCCCACTGCTTCCGCTTCCCCGTCCCCAAGGTCCTGGGCTTCTGAGACCTTCTATGGACGAGATGTTTGAAGAAACCAGCTTGGCCACATTTTCCTCTTGCCTGTTTATAATCATAGGCAAGTGTGAAGAGAAGAATTAGCATACAAACACATCTTATTTAGTTTTGTGACTGAGAAAACATTGAGGCAACGTCAACTCAGTAACAACTAGCACGTCCTGTACTCTGATTTTTGTTTCTAAGTTATATTGTGCCTGGAGGATCACAATGACCACAATCAACGAGGACGTCATGGTTAGAGTGGAAAAGTTATGTGCCATCGAGTCGGCTATGACTCTTAGCCAATCTTGTCCTATCCTGAACCAACCCCACCATCTCTGACACACCTGACCCCATTGCCCCAGTCACCATGTCAATCCATCTCATCCAGGGTCTTCCTCTGCTGCACTGTCCCTCCACCCTTCCAAGCATGATGGCCCTCTCCAAGAAATGGTGACATGTCTAAAATATGTGTGACGGAGCTTCAAAATCATTGCCTCCAAGGAGCAACCTGGTTTCCCCTTCTCCAGGACAGGTTTGTTCTCTTGGCAGTCCTTGGTATGTTCAATATTCCTCCAGTACCACAGCTCAAAGGCATCGATTCTTCCTTCTTTTGTTATTTTTGGTCATTGTCCAGCTCTCTGACGGATAACAAGTAATTGTGAAGATCATGGCTTGGATCAGGTGCACCTTAGTCTCTAGACTGACATCACTGCTCTTCAGTACTCTGGCGAGGTCCCCGACACTGGACTTTCCCAATGCCTTTTGTCTTTTGATTTCCTGACTGCTGGTGCCCAGAGCATTGACTGGATTCGAGCAAGGTGAAAGTCAGTCTCCAGAAAGGGAAGTGAGCCATCTTGTGGCCAAGAGACACACCTCAAACCTGCACAGCATGTTGCTCCAAGGCTGAGTGTTGTCAACACCAGTTGTAACGACGGTGAATGACAGCTCTGAGCCTGCCCTGTCCCCCACCCTTCTCACCACCTCTGCCTGAGCCCATTGTGACAGTCACTGTGTCGGTTCATCTCGTTGAGGGTCTCCTCTCTTTCACTGACTTTTTCCAGTAGGATGTCTTTCTCCCAGGACCACCTCCTCCTGAGAGAGCTCACAGAGCCTACTGGAAAAAGGCTGTGCTGCAATCCAAAAGAGATGTGGTTCGAATCCTCCACCTCCTCTCAGGAGAAGGATGGG